TCTTCCGGCAAGGCATTCAGAGTCCCTCCCACCCTGCTGCCGCCGCTGCTGGGAGCCTTCAGAGCTCTCAAAGGGCTTCCTCCAATGTCAGGGGGAACAGCCCTTTGAGAGCTCGGAAGGCAAACGGGCAGGGAGAAAACGCTGAAAATTCGAATTTCCCACCTTTTCTCCCTGCCTTCTTGCCTTCCGAGCTCTCAAAGGGCTTCCTCCGATGTTAGAGGAATATAATAATTATTATTATATAATATAATTATATAATATAATATAATTATTATTTTATTTAAAAAGATATAAAGATTTACAAAATAAAGTCAGTTTAATGCATAAGCAAGCATATTACCATTTTCAAGGCTTGTTACAAAATAGAAATGAAGCAATAATTCTCTTTAAATACAAAAACACAAAAAATCCCAAAAATCTCTAAAAAGCTCTTTTAGGGTAGGCAAAAGGCACAAGCCCCCCTTTCTTCCTAGTCTCCCTACATCTTTCCCAGTCCTTTACCTGCCTGCACTGAGCAGCAGGCAAACACACCTAGAAAAACTTATGATAGAAAAATAGTCCAAGATTGTAGAACAAGGTAAAGAAATACTGCTTATAGTAAAAGTTCCTTTTTCAAGCTTCGCTGGAACCACCCTTATCTTCTGTTTCTCCAGCTCCCATCCAATCACGGCATGAAGTCAGGTAAACAGTCCCTCCTTATCTTTTTTCTTCTCTTCTTTCTTCTCTTCCCATGGGAAACAGGTGTTGTTTTTCTTAGTACATCTGCAGCTACGCCATAACAAAAGTCTGGTCTTCTTATCTAGGAATGTCCTCCTCAGGCCTACAGGAAAACATTCCCACAACCTTCTGGAAAATACTGTCAGCATGCAGAATCATTTATACAGAGAACCAATATGGAATCCTTTTTACATTGTTCACTACTACATATCCCATCCTCAGTACAAGATTTAAACTACATAAACCAATCCATGACAGGGGGAACCTCTGAGATACCTCCATGGTGGCAGAGAAGCCCTGCAAGGCA